AAAAACGGAAGCGAAGTCAGCCTCGCTTCGACTTCCGGTTCTTCCATGCGCAAGCGCAGTGTTCCTGACCCTTTTTCCGAGTTTTCAGCTCCGCCTTCCCCGAGAGGAATTCAGAGCTTTGGAAGGGGTGGGGAGGAAACTGCAGGAGGAGGGGCCTCAGTGGAGGAAGTGGGCGGGACTTCAGATGAGCGAGGCGGGGCCTTGGCCGAGTGGGTGGGGCCTAGAGGAGGCTTTAATACATAGGGTGGGGCAGGAGCGGGGCGTGGCCAGGAAGTAACCGGGTAAGGTTGCAAGACGCGGTGTTTAGCTCCCGCCGCTGGGCGGTCAACTAGCGCGGGCCTGGCGGAACGGGGCGGCGCACGGAGACCGCGAGGCGACCGGGAGCGGCTGGGCCCCCGGCGGCGCGCCCCTCGGCCGGGCGGGGAGCCGCGCCAGTCGGAGTCCCAGGCCGCGCGCGGCCTGCCTCGCTCTCAGCGTCCATCTGTCCGGAGTGCAGCCAGCGGACATGACCGATCCACCAGGGGCGCCGCCACCGCCGGCGCTCGCAGGCCGCGGGTGAAGAAGGTTCGTCCCCGCTCGACGCGGAGCGAGAAGGTGACCCAGGCCGAGGAAGCGCCCCGGGCCAAGGAGGAGACCCGGGCGGAAGAGGTGGCACCGACTGGAGAGGTGACCCAAGCCCAAGAAATGGCGGCAGCCGAGCTCTGCGTGACCATCACCCACAGTAAGTGACTGGCGGCTAGTTGGGCTCAGTGCAGGACTCGGAAGGCCCCACGGGGTCTGTGGATTTGGCCMTGTGTCTCCGGAAGTGTATGTCCTTAGGTTTGTCCGGCGTCCGGAAGTGTGGGTTCTTAGCTGTGTCCATGGGCTGGCTTTTGTCTGGGTCTTGTGTCATCACACCTTCCTTGTGACAGGTGTATTTTTTCTCTAACTATTTGYTGAATCGTGGATGTTGGAACGTGTTCGCACATCTTGGGCTTAGTTGTTTGCTTGCGCAGTTATTGTGGGGTTTTTTGTAAGACTTGTGTTGAGCCACATTATGTCTGACTGTTGTGCGTCTGGACACCTACGTGTGTGATGACTATGAACTTCGTGCGTGGTGAGCTGTTCATTATTTATTGAGTGCCTTCTCTGTGTTGGATGCTTCGTGCCCGCTGTTTAAGTTGGCCATGGGTCCAAGCATTAACTTTGGGCACTCGTTGAAGTTGACTAAACAATGTCTGTACACTGGAGAGCTGAGTAGATGAGGTTTTTTTCAGAACCAGCTAGGGGAGATCCTAGTCTTCAAACCTGGAAGCCAGGATTCTAGATCCTGCAATTTTGCGTGACACTGAAATAGATGTCTCCTTTTAAGGCATCTCTTTTTTTCTCTGTAGCATTCATTGGTAACCCCTGCCCCTGGTCACTAATCCCATTTTATGGAGCTGTTGGGAGAGTTCAAGTCTTGGCATAAGATGAATGTGAGGAATCAGATGGATTTGAGGCCAGTTCAAGGCACTGGACACAGGCTACCTGCTGTCTCTCCACTTACCTAGAGAAGAATTGGCATCCATATTTTGTTTTRTTTTAGGTACCAGGGATTGATCTCGGGGCGCTTAATCACTGAGCCACATCCCCAGCCCTATTTTGTATTTTATTTAGAGACAGGGTCTCACTGAGTTGCTTAGTGCTTTGCTTTTGCTGAGGCTGGCTTTGAACTCAAGATCCTGCTTGCCCCACCAGGCCCAGCTTGTTTTTGTTTTATTTTTTTTAATCTCTTCTGTTTGACTATATTCATTCATTCGTCTTTACTGAGCACCAATTATGGTGTACCTAAGTGTGCCCATTGAGAGAGACTTGGAGAAAAACAGTCCCTAGCCCATTATAGCAAGAGAGACAAGATAGTACAATTCAGAGTTCAGGGCAGTCAGACTATGGGAGGCAGATAGCTTCTGATGAGAAGTGTGAACTTCGGAATCAGATAGATCTGAGGCCAAATTCTGACACCCCTTCCCCTATTTGGTCTCCATAAGAAAGTTTCCGGGGTGTGTGTGTGTGTGTGTGTGTGTGTGTGTGTGTGTGTGTTGAGGCTATTGATTGAACCCAGGGCCTCAGGGCCTTGCATATGCTAGACAAGAGCTCTCCTACTAGCTAAATTCCTTCATAGAGAAGTCTTTTTTTTTTTTTGGTGCTGGGGATTGAACTGAGGGGTGCTTTACTGCTTAATGACATCCCCAGTCTCTCTTAATTTTTTATTTTCAGACAAAGTCTCACTAAGTTGCTTAGGGTCTCACTAAATTGCTGAGACTGGCCTTGAATTTATGATCCTCCTGCCTCAGTCTCCCAAGTCTCTAGGATCACAGGCGTGTTCCACCATGCCAACTCATAGGATTCTTAATTAATTAGGACTGAGGTCAATTTGTTTATCTATGAAATAGGGAATGATAGTACCTACTTCATGGGATCGTTCTGAGGGTTAAATAAGATAATAAATGAAATAAGTCTAGTACAGTTCTACTCTCTCTGTGTGTGTGTGTGTGTGTGTGTGTGTGTGTATTTAGTTGTAGATGGACACATACTTTTATTTTTATGTGGTGCCTGAGGCTCAAACCCAGTGCCTCACACGTGCGTGCAAGGCATGTGCTCTACCGCTGAGCCACAACCCCAGCCTCTACTCTTTTTTTTTTTTTTTTTTAGTATTTATCTTTTTAGTTATAGTTGGACACAATACCTGTATTCCATTCATTTATTTTTATGTGGTGCTGAGGATCGAACCCAGGGCCCCATGCATACTAGGCAAGTGCTTATCTCTGAGCCACAATCCCAGCCCATCTTCTACTATTAAGTGCTTAAAATGTTAGGTCTCAGGCTAGGGTCATGCCTCCATTGGTAGAGTGCTTGCCTAGCATGTGTGAGGTACTGGTTTGATTCTCAGCACCCATATATAAGTAAATAAATAAAGGTCAATCAACAACTAAAAAAATTTATTAAAAAAATGTTAGGTCTCATTACAATTATTCATTCTTATGGTGGAGGAAACAAAAATCCTTGAGCAGGTCACTGGAGGAAAGCTGGGCAGATCTCAGCAGGCACTTTGAAGTGGATAGAATTTGAGAATAGCCCTTGAATGCCSGGTAAAAATGTAATAAAGTTTCATCCTTTATTGTTTTCTGTGAAACAGTTATTTTCATCAAATGCTTTTTTTTTCTCTCTAGACAATGAGAAGTATGACCTTCATGTTACCCCACAGCAAGGCAGCAATGAACCAATTGTCCAAGACCTGGCCCAGGTTGTGGAAGAAGCCACAGGGGTTCCACTGGCTTTTCAGAAACTCATATTTAAGGGTAGGTGTTTCTCTTCTTGCTTTGAGCCATTATGGCTAAAGGACAGACTTAAAACAGGTTAACCTTACCTAACAGTAACTTTCAGTTTTCAAACTGGGGCAATTTTTGTTTATTTGTTCGTTTACTCATTCCTTTAAAAATATTGAGGACCTGCTATATATATGGGAACTTTTCAAACATCTGAGTAGGTATCAGGTTTGAAGTAACATTACAGAAATCTTACCCCTTTTTTTGGCATTAGAGTTCGAACCCAAGGGCACTTAACCACTGAACCATATCCCCAGACTTTTTTATTTAGAGACAAGGTCTCACTGAATTGCTTAGGGCTTCGCTAAGTTACCGAGGCTGGCTTTGAACTCATAATCTTCCTGTCTTAGCCTCCGGAGCCACTGGGATTACAGGCATGCTCCACTACACCTGGCAAAAATCTTACCAATTTTGATAAAGCATGAGCAGTCTTTTCTGGCTA